AGGGTTTAGGGCTTAGGGTTTGAACCAATCTTCCTTTAAACCTCTAAAGCACTGAAGCGCCAAAGCAACTCTAAGCTTAGAAGCCAAAGTATTCAATTACCTACATGTGTCCTTAATTATAGCTTCCTAGCAACATGCTTATGAAACCCTGCAAAACGGATAAAGCAATGCATACAGAACTGTTAAGCCCCCCTTGGCAACTCGGTTTTGAAGCAATCATGTCAGGCATTTCGGACGGAGTGGCGCATCTTCGGCGAGGAGGAAGATTTGGCAGGTGGCAGGGACGGGGTGGGGGGGGGGGGGGGGNNGGGTGTGGGGTTTAGGGTTTGGCGTTGAGGGTTTGGGGTGATTCGATTTAAACAGAAGCAAGAGCGATACTCCGCAGTAGTAGCATGATCGTGCTGCCAGCGAAGATTGCAATAGAAGTGCTATCAGATACAGGAATCCAGTAATTCGACTGCCATTCCTACTACTACTGTTATGCGGCTACACAGCATGCTTCATCGTAAGCCCCAATCTTGATAACTATAAACCCTGAAGTCTATAAGCCCTACGAGTGATTTCAGGATCCATCGACTTCGCCGCGCGCCTCCCGCACGGTGGGCTGGTTCTGTGGGGACCTCGTTCGCTGCGGGTCCAGGGGTCTTGAGTCTCGGGGTTTAAAGAGTTTGGGATTCAAGCTTTTCGGGGTTTCGGGTTTAGGGCATGTGGGGCCTGGAGTGTAGCAGCTTAGGTACTGCGCACAAAAATCTCCGATATTAGCGACCGCAGTCGTCCCGAATTAAGCCGAATTACTGATGTAGCCCTTGGCCCCATTTTGCTTTAAGTGTTGTGTTACTCGAGACTAAAACCGCAAACCAGACAGGGAGCACCCAAAACATCCAATCTGACTCAGATAGGCTCTTCTTGCTGATTGGCCCAAAAACAACCTATTTTGCACGGATAGGCCGTTGTGGAGCACCGATAAGCAGATGTTTTTGCTTTGGGGGCACCGAAAACAGCCTATCTGACTCAGATAGTCTCGTCTTTGCCGGTGAGCAGCCAAAACTGCCTTCTGGTACCCCCAAAGCATGCAGTCCGGCTCAGATACTGCCCCGAAGCTGTAGATATTGTTAGAACTTGTGCAGTTAGGAAGCTGGGTTCAGGTTGCGGGCTTTCGGGACTTCATGGTATAGCTTGTGGATTTGAGCTTTCACGGCAGTTTGGCTGGGTTCTGTTGTTGTTTCAAAGTGTCGGGTTCAGCGCTTGTGAGTTGTTGGGTTTGGGCTTGGTTCAGGATTTGCTGTGTTCCCGGGGCCTCGTGCTTTCAGGTTCAGGTTTTATCGTTTTGGGCTTCGGTTCGTGGGGCTTCGGGGTTAAGGCTGGGGTTCAGGGCTCGTGGATGCTTTTGGGTTTTCGTGCCGTGGGGCTTTGGGCAGCTAAGGTCCTCCTTCGGGTTTAGGTCTTAGGGGTTTTAGGGGTTTCACGGTTTAGGGTTTAGGGTCCCTAAACCCTAAACCCTAACCTAGCTTAGGGTCGGAATTCGGGTTTGGGGTACCCAACAGCAGCAAGCACGCAGGAAGTGCAATGCCCTCCTCCGCCCGTCACCCTGACACCAATCCCGGCTTAGCAAAACACTAAGTGAAGATGGGTTGCGGAACTTCACTCCCGGTTGCTTCTCAACAGCCCTGAACCCTTGAGCCTGAAAGTGAGGCCCTTGATGGTCATCTGCTGTGTGTGATGCCGGTGGTGCAGCCGTTGAGTATCCGCAATCCCCAATCCCAAACTTTTAAACCCTAAACCCTATACAACCTAACAGTATGAGAACCATTGATTCAAGCTCGTACCCTCTGGAACCACTTGTCTTCAAGGTTGCCGGCAGGGCACGGACAAGTCTACTTGGAAGCTTGAACCGCAAAAGGTCTCAGGACCCCTATACCCCTTTCAGTAGACCCTGAACCTTCAAAGGCTCGAGAGCTAAACCCCGAATATAGAAACCCTAAACCCTATATCCCTGAAGCCCTAAAGCCCCCCTCTGATTCACCCTCCCCCCCTAAACCCGCGAGCCTCCATGGACCCAGTCACCAAACACCCCCCGGAAGGGTCGACTGGAAGCGCTCGGACAAGCTGGAGAAGGGACTGCGAAATGCATTCCGCCGCAGCCCATGCTGCAACCTAAACCCTAAACCCTAAACCCTAAACCCTAAACCCTAAACCCTAAACCCTAAACCCTAAAAAGAAGGGTTTAGGGCAAAGGGGATCTTGGATGTCCAGGTGGAGCAAATTTTTGGATTTTCTGTTTGACCAAATGCCAGTGCTACATTGCTCTCTATCTCTCTTGGTTTGGATATGGCTTCCAGATGCCAACATGGCCAACGTCTCAGTAGGGAACTCAGCATCACCGGTTTGTGGTCTACAGTCCGCGGTTTGGACATTGGAGCTTAAGGTTCGTGCTCAGCAAAGAATCCTCTCACATCCTCGAACTATAGGAGGAGCACGAAGGCTCCTGCGGTCCAGGACTTCAGGGTTTAGAGTTCAGGATTTCGCGCCCTCAAAAAAACACCTAAACCCTACAGCCCTAAAGCCCTAAAGCCCTAAATCCTAAACCCCTAAACCCCTAAACCCCTAAACCCTAATCCCCAAACCCTAAAGCCCTAAAGCCCTGAACCTCTAAAGCCCTAAATGAAAGGTAGGGCTTTTTTCGGGCCCCGGTGTGGTTTGCACCCGAGCATCCGATGGCACTCTGACTAGACACACAACCCTGAAAGCTGAGATGGGTAGTTTGTCAAAATTATGGTCCCTTTTGGGGTACCCTAAACAATAGGTGCCGTAGTATAATACGGACCCAAAAAGGGACCATAATTTTGACAACCACCCGTATGTGTAGTTCTCTATGAGTCCCCAAAGTTAGTACGGCGCTCTTTGAAAAGGACCCTAAACGGGACCCTGATGTAGAGAACTATCCACATCCTAAACTGTGGACGCCACCTGAAACCCTAAAGCTCAAGACCCGACACCCCACCCGTATGCCTCAAACCTGGAACTCTAACACACGATAGCCTCTGGCTCCAAACCCCCTCGCGGCACTCTTTGAGGCATGGCTGCTCCCTTCGAACACCTCCATGACTGCAGCTGATCATGCAGAAAGGATCAAGGGACGCAGAAGCGAAAATCTATGATTGGCCCAAACCCTAAGCTAAACCCTAAACCCTGAGAAGTACACCTACAACGACTTTTTGGGGTCAGTGAGTAAACCCTAAACCCCTAAACCCCAAACTCTAAGCCCAAGCCCTGCTCCAGGATCGGGCATTTCGTGTTGGGGTTGCGGTCTGGATCTGAGGGTCGGTGTTCTGGGGGGTTTAGGGGCTAGGGCTTTAGGGTTACGGGTTTAGGGTTTAGGGTTAAGGATTAAGGGTTTGGCGGTTCAGAGTTAAGGGTTAAGGGTTTGGGGTTAAGGGTTAAGGGTTCAGGGTTCTGGGGGTTTAGGGTCTGGGGATCTTGGGCTTTCCGTACTTGCGGCTTAGGATCCAGGAGTTCTGGCTAAGGGTTTGGGAGTAGTGTTGCGTTACCCGCGAGAGTTTCAGGTTGGCCCTCGTTGCCATAATACTTAGTTAGCCAATAGGAGAACTTTAAACTTTTTGGCTATATATATATATATATGGTACCCCCCCCTCATGTATCTACCGTTTGTC